GCAGTGAGTGGGTCAACGTGTTATTGCCCCCTCGAAGGGTATCACATCTCTGGGTTTTGCAGCCCCCTCCCTCACTCTTACCATGCCCACTCTAGTTGAGGTTGTAGCTATTTTCTTTCCCAAAGCTCAGTTTGCATTTCCAAGATGGTGGAGCACTCCTCAGAAAGAAATTTCCAGGCTCCACCTTGACTTGCCAGTGTGGCTCCGAATATCCAAATCCCTTTCCTGGTAGGCCCACAGGCTTCACACATCCTCAGGTCCCTACCTAACCTTTGTATAAGAGCCTAGACCTGCTCACACTTCACCCTTAGCCCCTGGCATATGAGGTGACCATGCCAGGTATAGTTATACACTGTCCTAACCCAGAAAATAATCCTTACAATCAATAAACTCTAATCCTGTATGACACCTCTCCCATCCATACTTTACCATTCTACCCCCTTTTCATATCTATTTGCCTCCTTTATAATGGACATGCCCTCTCTATCCCAGCCCCCAATGCCCAAGAATACATTCATCATTCTCCTTCCTAAAGCAGAAGCCCAAATCTCCTCCCACGAAGCCCCTTACCCTTTGCCTTTATCAACTGATTGACACAGTCAATTGAGTGACCTAAGCAGACAGCCCTGGACAAGTAGTCCCCAGGAAGCCTGTACATCTCCTCATGTGTTTCAACGCTGACCCCTGGATTAACCACTAAGGAGCCAATAGGCTGACAGACATACACTTTCTGGACCAGAGCAACATGAGATGTCTTGACTGGTGGCCTGGTGCCTGGATTGAGCTCAGAGGTTCTTTTGACTGAAGGGTGTCCTCATGGACTTCACGAAGAACCACTCCCCTTAGCGTTTGAGACATTGTCATTTGCTTGCAGCAAATGCTCTGTGGTTTTTTTCCACATAGAATCCCTACAGTGTGGAAACAGGCCCTTTGGCCCAATAAGTCCACACTGACCCTCGGAGCATCCCACACACACCCATCCCCAATAATCCATTTAACCTACACATCCCCAAACACTATGGCAATTTAGCATGGCCAATCCACCTAGCCTGCACATCTTTGGACTGTGGGAGGAAACCAGAGCACCCAGAGGAAACCCATGCAGACACGGGGAGAATGTGCAAATTCCACACAGACAGGCGCCTGAAGGTGCAGTTGAAGCCAGGTCTCTGGTGCTGTGAGGCAGCAGTGCTGCTCCAAATGTCAAAAAAGGGTTTCATCTGAATTATCATGTGATTCTCCTTGAGGTCTCACCACTGCCCACATGATTCAAGGACCCTATAAGTTTCTGATCTTTATGATATGAATTAGTGAACTAATATATCATGCAGCACTTTAAACCATTTCATCATGGCTGTTTGGGCCTAGAAATTACGTCATTTTTAAAATGGTTTTTGCCCCAGTGATGCTGATAAAGAACTACAGAAATGATTTTCACCTGTAATATAATATGTGAATTAAGTACATGGCCATTGAGTTGAGTATCATTATAAGTCAGAGAATAATCTATTTTCATGATGAATGTTACAGTTAACTTCACTATTGTTGGGTTACTTTGCATTCTGCAATTTGTATTATCTACTAAAAGTGAGGCATGTTGAACATTAATGATGCCCAATATGTTACAAGGTATCTCCAGGCCTTTTTTGATTTTGTTTTCAAATTTTGTCTGCCGGTGATGGTGATGGATGCTGAGGCATGTTTTTTAACATGACTTAGTTGCTTCTAAATCACCTGCTTCTGGGTGCAAGTCACATTCCAGGGCTTGAACCCAAAATTCAATGCTGACATTTCAATGCAGTACTGTGGGAGTTTCGTATTGTAGGAGATGGATAAGCCATTAAACTGGCTGTATGCATTGGTGAGAAAGATCCCATTGCACTATTTCAAAGAAGCAAAGCAGCCACAGTCCCATTCTCGGATTGGAGAGAAACAACTGAGGGTCACCACGTAAGGTTGAGAAGGTGGACCTTCATGGTAACCTCAACTGAACGTGCACTATTGGCATCAGTCTGCATTACAAATAAAGCATCTAGCCAACTGAGCTAACCAACCAACCAAAGAACAGCAGGAGGAATTAGATCCAGTATCCAGGCCAATGAACATCAAAAAACAGATTATGTGATCTTTATCACATTGCTGCTTGTAGGGGGTTGCTGAGTTCAAATTGGCCATTGTGTTTCCTTCATTACAACAACGACTACACTTCAGAAAGTAATTTATTGGCTGAAAACTCCTTGAGATCTCTAGTGTTCATGAAAGGTTCAATGCAAATGCAAGTTTCTTTCTTCCCCAGCAATCTTTTGCTATTTCACCCCATAGTTCATTCATCATGTGAGCCTATATAAATGTCTTGGTGATTGAGGGATATGACAGCTGACCCTAATCCTATTCTGTATAGCAATCACATTTATAATTTTCAGAGGTCAGCTGCAACATTCATACTGCCACCTAGTCATGATTACACAGCTCAGCACAGAATCAAAACCAACCTTGAGACTTTCCAGTCTGCATTGCGTAATATTACACATGTGCATTTTCCCATTGAAATATAGAAACTAAGATTTGGAGTAGGCCAAATGTTGCTACTATATGGTAGCAGCATGAATCAGTTAGCTTCATCTGTTGCTCAAATTGTAGCGATATTTTATAATTCAGGGTAAAGTGAGCTAGACTGAGCACTTTTTCAGGACCAAATGTGATGGCCTTATGCCTGTTCACACGTTGTAATGATATACAATGAGAAGTGATCTAATCAGGTTTTGATGCGCCCTAGCTTAGCATCAAATAACGTAAGGTTGTTGAAGATGTCCATTTTGTAGTGTGGAATTGCAGATTTTCCAATGTATATATTGACCAGTAAGGTGCATTTGCAGTAGACAGCTGTAGGGAATGCTCTGACCAATTTCGCAGCTAGGATATTGAAAGAATCATAGAATCATACATTCCCAACAGTGTGGAAGCAGGCCATTCAGCCCATCAAGTCCACACTGACCATCCGAAAAGCATCCCACCCAGACCCACCCCCTGCCTTTATCAGCATTATTCAAAGTAATAAATGTCTTTTGACATTCCCGATGTGAAGTAACCAATAAACGTTGATTAAAACATAGATGCATTATGGAGCATGTACACATTGGGTTCCTTTTAATTTGGACATTGCTTAAAAGTTGCTATTTTGCAGGCAATTTTCTGTTAGACTCCCCAGGTAGAAATATCATGTTAAAACCTGACCCCACTTCATGTCTGTATTGGAGCAATTTAACACATGCATAAACATTTATGTTCACTAATATGTGCTGTACTAATAGTTGGATCTATGTTATTTAAATACATTGTAAGTTTATTGACAGGTTCTTAATCAAAAACCATTGGCTGTGGCTAACAATGTTAGAGGTAAACATCTGACAGTGTACATTCTATTTATGCTGCCTGTTCTTTTTAACTGATTTCTAGCAGTGAGCACTTAATGGCGTTGTTTATTTGCTGTAGCAGGGCTGATAATGTTGCCTGGTGCTACTTAAAGAGAGGTGCATCTCTTAAAGGAGAGATACATTGAGGCAGCAAGTAGCAGTGGAAGCTTTCTTTTTGAAATGTGAATCTGGATTGTGGTATTTTGAAGAATGACTGAGCATGTGAGAGCAATGAGCTTAACAGGCAATGTACGGGAGCATTTTATTCAAGATTTGAACAGAAGGAGGGATGTCATCAGCATGGCAGGATAACCCCAGGAGACAGTGGAAACTAACTACAGGTTCAATTCCAGGAGTATTTTTCCAAACAGATGTTGAGGAAAATATTTAACAATCTGAATCAAAGTTGTGAAGGTGAGAGTGTTAATCTTCAATGTGCATAAACTACCAGTTACATCACTGGCCCCATTCACTGTAAATGCACGACCTCTATCTCCTTTCTACTAGAAATCTCCTTTAATCAGTGTCCAATCCATCAATTCATATTCTTTACCTTCACCTCACGCACTTCGTGCTGTTGTAAATCTCATACCCACAGCTCACAGTTCACTCATACTGACACAGAGACGCAACCATGAGAACATGTTACATTGCATTTCACTAACACATTTCTCACTGTCTTTTAGGAGAAAGTGACACTTAAGATGAAGCAGCAGCAATGGAAGATGAGTGTTCCTGCATGTTTTAACCTGCATGGAAGAGTGTGCTGATTTCAATGGGGGAAGGCATCACTGAGAACCTGACCACAAGGAGGTCGAAGATGTTTTTTTTTAAATTCACTTGTAGGACGTGAGTATCACTGGCTGGATCAGTAGTTTTGCCCATCCTTAGTTCTCATTGAGAAGATGATGGAGAGCTGCCTTCTTAAACTGCTACCATCTATGTGCTGAATGATGATGATGATGATGATGATGCTGTTATCTGTATGTCTAATCTCACTTCTCCCACATTCCACAATTTGTCATGACTGAGGAGCTGAAATGGTGTATGTACCCACTTCTTACCTGTTCCCTCCCCTCAGGAAAACCCTTATCCTCGTCTCTTTTTCCTTTCAGGTACCCAGTCCGAGAAGAAAATGAGGTTGAGCCAATCTTCAAATCGTAACAAGCAGATTCGAGATTGCTGCTGCATATGTTTTGGATATGTTAGGGAAAGGAGAGAAACCACATGCAAGTATAGAGGAGTCAGGGTGGGAGGTAAGGATAGTCCCTGTATCAATCCACTGGAGGGTGACATTGCACAGGAACACTGCTGAGGAGAGCCAGCTGAGGATTTTATTAGACCAAGTGACTGGAGAAGGCAAATAAATTACTTCGTGCACAGAAAGCTTGCCAGAAACCCTGTACAAAATGTTAAGGAGTCCAGCTTCAACTGAACATAGGCCTTTCCACAGAGTCTGGAATCCATCCTTTACATTGGGATTTGTTGTTTTTCCACCAACACATCACTGGAACATATTGTCTGATTGGATGTCGCAGATTGCATTGCAGTGCAAATGCAGTTTCCATTAACAGTCTGAGTGCTGTAATGGGAGCTCAAGCTGCCATTGCTGTGGCCATTGATGTTCCAAGGGATTCCCAGTGTGCCATGGCAGTCCATCGATTTGCTCTTCAATGGATCGATAGGATTTCTGAGAAAATGCTCCGTGGAAGTGACAGTGGCTTCAGATGTGGGGGGTAAATTTGTCACGATGGTAGTGTTGCTGCTCTCTCCCACCTCTGCTACTCCATCTGTGTCCTTGTTGCTGCCTGGCAGTGAGTTAGCCCAAACCCCGCTGCCACACCAGGATGATGGAGTACAAAGGAGGCCCATCGCGGCCCAAACTCTTCCATAGTGACCTCCAGAGACATCTTCGGCCACTTCAGTTGAAGGACAGCCATGTTGTAACGTCTGGGAAGCACGTCACTGGAGCTTTGCAAGAGGTACATAAATGAACACGCAAAAGGTGGTTTTTTTATTTGTGTTTAGGATGCCAACTCTGAACTCATAATTGCATGAGATTGTGCATTTCCTTGTGACTTTTACTTTTGAACCGTTGGAAATATGTTCCCCCCCACCCCACAGTTTTCTCATCTCTTAATGAAGGTGTTCATCTTCCAGGAAACGACTGTTCACAGCCTTCCGGAGAAAGCCAGGAGAGACTGCGGGCCATTTCTTCCTTGAAGGATGGTGAAATCAGAATCCTTGAATTTTTTCTTTAAATCAGAGGCAGAAAATTTATTTTTAAGCAAGGGAGTGAAAAGTTTTCAGGGGTAGAAGGCAATGGGCATTTGAGTTAAATTAAATCAATCACAATGTTATAGATTGGCCGAACAGGTTTGAGGGGCTGAGTGGCCTACTCCTGTTCCCATATTTATTCTGAATTAGCTATCTGAACCTGCAGATTCTGCCAGAGTTCTATTTTGTGTGAGTCTGAACACAGCAATATTACAGATTCCTCCATGACTCACCAATCCCTTTCTCAATCTTTCAGTTTGAAGCTACTTTTGCCAAGCATCTGCAAGATGTACTTGAAATTTTTGGGATCTTAAATGTGTTGAAAATGATTACCTGATCATTGCACTCTTTTTGTGTTTCTTTAGGCTGTTCCTAAAATGAGGAAACAAGAATAAGCAGTGTCACTGATCCAGGGAAGTTACTTCATTAAATTACAATAACTGCCTGTTGCACACATTAGCACAGACACCAGCACCTCAAGGTTATAATTAGTGAGTTTCAGGAAGGGGCCACTGGTTAACTATCAGTCATAATTCTGTAGAAGCAAGTGAAGGTGACAGGTTGTAGAAACATGCGGCTGTTCTGTCAGACAGAACTATGGACACAAGCTTTTATCCTCACAGACTAAACTTCAGCTCAGAATTAATCTGGAAGTGAACAGCTTTCATAAGGTCTTTTGAGACCACTGTTAGTAAATTTACAGAAGACAGAACATACCCAGTGTCATTGTGGTCACACTAGCAGACTAACATTATTTTGGACAACGTTAGGTATCACCTAGAATAGACACCCTATTGAAAATCTTTTAAAGCCCACCAAGCTGAGAGGCATGTCTCTGAGATGTGAGAGGAAATGTTATCGCCAAAATAGCCAAATATACCTGCTGCCTCAAGGATTTACAGATTGCCTGAAAGCAAGCAATGTTGGCAGCCACTATTTTGTCAAAAGCAAGTGCAGCTCTGTGTCCCTTCCTTCAGGAAAATGCCACAATCGCCCCAACAGGGGCTACAGATTAACCCGCAATCAGACAACTGTTCACTCAGAAAGATTCAATTAAATGCAAACAGCATCATAGGGCTGCACTATAAGGATGGCATATTCCTCACCATCCCACCAGTTGAAAGCACTGTGGGGTGCTGGTTGGCAGGGTTGAGTAGGCAGAAACATAACTGCCCCACAGCTATTTAGCATCCAACATCAGGAAAGCCAACCTCAGAGAACAGCACCACTAAGAGCAGTGGCCACTGCTGGTACTACAATCAGGTTCAAGGAGGCACACTGCATGGAATTCAGCTCAGCAGATGTGCTAGGGTCTCTCTGGGTTCCAAGTTGACAGGCTTGGGAGGTTGGGTGGTGTTGGAAGGTTTGCAAGGCCATAGTAGAAAGGGACCCTTTGGAGGCATGGATCTGCATGTGGAAAGATTGAGTGAGACCCTCCAATGAGCTTAGGGGGCCCATTAAGAAGGAAACAAGTGCTGCTTTGTCATGATCCTATGCAGGGAAACCTGTCAGGAAATCTATTGAAAAGTCATTAAATCTGAAACCTAACACCGTTTCTCTATCTCCACAGAGAGCACGGTGGCTCACAGCACCAAGGACTGGGGTTTGATTCCACCCTCGAGCAAGTAATGTCTGTGTAGAGTTTGAACATTCTCCCTGTGTCTGCATGTGTTCCCACAGTCCAGAGATGCGCAGGGTAGGTGGACTGGCCAGGCTAAATTGTCCGTACTCTTCAGGAACATGCAAGCTAAGTGGGTTAGCCATGGGAATTACAGGGAAAGAGTAGGAATGGGTTTGGGTGGGATGCTCTTTGGAGGGTTGGTGTGGACTCAATGAGCTGAATGGCCTGCTTCCACGCTGCAGGGATTCTATGAAGATACTGACCGACTTGCTGAGTGTTTCCAGCATTATCTGCTGTTTTCCTGGCATTCTGTGCCCAACCTTATTTACTAAGAATACTTCAATGAGGCTCGTGAAGCATAATCTAACTCAATTCACCAGAATGCTTTCATGACTAAGGTTGGAGGAGTGCACTGTCTTTCTGCTGTCTCACAATTCCATAGGTCAAAACATAAATTAAATTTAATAAATTTAATACCTGCTTCCTAATATGGTCTAAGATAACAAGGTGTAGAGCTGGATGAACACAGCAGGCCAAGCAGCATCAGAGAAGCAGGAAGGCTGAAGTTTCGGGCCTAGAATCTTCTTCAGAAATGGGGGAGGGGAAGGGGGTTCTGAAATAAATAGGGAGAGATGGGGAGGCGGATAGAAGATGGACAGAGGAGAAGATAGGTGGAGAGGAGACAGACAGGTCAAAGAGGTGGGGATGGAGCCAGTAAAGGTAAGAGTAGGTGGGGAGTTAGGGAGGGGATAGGTCAGTCCAGGGAGGACGGACAGGTCAAGGGGGCGGGAAGAGGTTAGTAGGTAGGAGATGGGGGTGGGGCTTGAGGTGGGAGGAGGGGATAGGTGGGAGGAAGGACAGGTTAGGGAGGCAAGTATTAGACTTATAATAACGAGATTCATCAACCCTGGTGTCTTTAGTAAACACAAAATCGTTGACTTATTATAAAAAGAACTTATTAAATGATGATGCAAAACAGGTTAACATACTTAGCTTGTAATGTTAAAACATAAGTGTTTACCCCTTTAAATAATCCAAACCACACACAAATAAACACGGGGATTCATTTTGGGAAAAAAGAAATGTTTGGTCACTTAAATGTTAGCTGTTGAAGGCAAATGAAAGGATGAAATGCAGAATGTACAAATGGTTGTCCATCTGACACACACAGACAGATGTCACCAAACACAAACAGATACCTCTTGGATTCTTTCCAACTCCAGGAGACAGTGTTGAGAATTCTGACAGTAACTCTTCGGAAGGACAGTGAAGGTTCAGACTGGATCACAGCTCAAGGTACCAAGCTGGACCCACAATGAAAGTTCTTTCAGAAACAGAACAGCTGAGCTGGACAGAGATAGTAGGAACTGCAGATGCTGGAGAATCTGAGATAACAAGGTGTAGAGCTGGATGAACACAGCAGGCCAAGCAGCATCATAGGAGCAACAAGGCTGACGTTTCGGTTTTCTGATGAAGGGTCCAGGCCCGAAACATCAGCCTTCCTGCTCCTCTGATGCTGCTTGGCCTGCTGTGTTCATCCAGCTCTACACCTTGTTAGCTGAGCTGGACAGTTCTTTTTTCCCCAGGCTGGTCACCAACTGAAAAATCAGAAAAAAATCTTCCAAGCAGAAACTGTAAGCTGACAACAGTAAATTCAAACAGCGGTCCGCAGTAAACAGACAGCTACCACAAGATATGAATTTCAAGAAATGCCTTCTTAAAACACATTTCCAATGACTTTTCATTGACATCTTTAAAAAAGGTCAGGGTATCCAGATTCCTTCAAATTCAACTCCAGAAAAATAATAAATATGACCATAACACCATAACAATTCACACAGAAAATTGAATCTACATAGAACATAGAACATAGATCATAGAACAGTACAGCACAGTACAGGCCCTTCGGCCCACGATGTTGTGCTAAAATTTTACCCTAAACTTAAGGCCTATCTAACCTCCAACACTACCTTATACTATCATCCATATGCCTATCTAATTGCCACTTAAATGCCCCAATAAGGCCGACTCCACTACCCTCTGTGGCAATGCATTCCACGCCCCTACCACTCTCTGAGTAAAGAACCTACCTCTGATGTCTCCCCTATATTTACCTCCACTCACTTTAAAACTATGCCCCCTCGTAATAGCTACCTCCATCCTAGGAAAAAGTCTGGCTGTCCACTCTATCTATCCCTCTGATCATTTTGTACACCTCTATCAAGTCACCTCTCATCCTTCGTCGTTCTAAAGAGAAAAGCCCTAGCTCTCTCAACCTTTCCTCGTAAAACCTTCCCTCCATTCCAGGCAACATCCTGGTATACCTTCTCTGCACCCTTTCCAATGCCTCCACATCTTTCCTGTAATGAGGTGACCAGAACTGGACACAATACTCCAGATGTGGCCGAACCAGGGTTTTGTATAGAGCAGAGGCTCGTTTCAAACAAGTCCTTAGAAAACCAGGAATCAGAAGAATTCAGCAAATGGTTTATTATAAGCCAAACAATATTGCTCCAGTAATTCCTGTTGCACCACATTTGCAACTCGATATTATATACACAAAAGCTTCTAAATCACTTTCTTTTCAGTCGATGTATAATTTCTCTCATGTAATCCCTTTAAAGTGTCATTCAGAAAGTTCAATTTGACTAAATCTGTGTTTAATTCACATTTCTTACATGATACAAACAGTATCATTCTATAATTAATCAGCTAATGGAGAAACTGAATGAGTGTATAATCCATTTAACAGGACTGCATTAGTGCAGCGTTTCGTCCTTCACAATATTTAGGGTTTTCTTTGACATAGTAATGATGATAAAGCACTTTCTTTTGTGA